TTGGAATCACCCCAATTGAAGCAGACAAGAAAAAGACAAATGACACAGTTTGAATTATTGCTTAATGAAGCAAAAGAGCAAAACCCAGGTTTAATTACTATCTTATATCAAATACTAAATAAAGCAGATGAAGAGGAGAAAACACTTTATCAGAAACAATGGTCAAGAGATTTAGACTTTGAACTAAAAGAGGAAGATTGGGATGCAATATGGAATGCTCCTAGTCAAATATCAAAAACTTTCACAGTTAAATGGCAAGCATTTAAAATACTGGTTAGATGGCAAGTCACACCTATATTACGACACAGAATAAACCCAGAACACTCCCCAAGATGTATTAAACAATGTGGCCAACTAGCAGACTACTTACACTGTTGGTGGTCGTGTAAAATGATGCAAAAATATTGGAAAGGAATAATTAAGGAGATTAAAGAAATGATATCTGTACAAATACCTTTACAACCAGAAGTGATATTGTTGGAAAAATGGGATACAAATCAAATGACATCAAGGCAAAGGGAAGTAGTTTAGTTATTGTTAACAATAGCAAAATCATTGATAGCAATAGAATGGATAGGGGGAAACCTCCCACAGTGCAACAATGGCTTATAAAGATATGGGACTACTTTATTTTGAGTAAACTGTCATTTAATTTGTATAAAAACTCTGCTACACAATACGAGAAAAAAGTGGTATCAGTTTGGTTTCCAATTATAAGTTACTTAATGGAAAAAGATATCCTTCCAAGAAACACTCTGTATCATAACATGATTTACTTTTAAACAAGTTTATAGTAAATTGTTTGTTGTATATGTTGGTTATGTTGTAAAATAAAAATTATTTTTAAAAGTACACAAAAAATTTTAAATAACAAGAAATTGGGCAAAGTATATGCAGCCTAATCTGCAGAGAAGAAAAAAGGTGTCATGACTTATATAACTGATAAACATTTAACTGTAACAGAAGAGTTAAAAGATCTGGAGGGAAGATATATCTCATTAAAAATAAGATCTCCAGAAGATAAAATCTTCACCTTGGCTTCAAATTACACTCCAAATAATGCAAAGGAAAAATTCTATGAATTTTTTTTTCAAACACTTCTGGACTTACAAAATGGAGAAATTTTAATTTTTGGGACATGAATGGAGTATTAGATAAAAAAAGAACAGATCTAAATAGTCTACGAGAGGAAAGCATGGCATCATGAACACACCTTGGGATATGTAGGTGTATGCTATTATATACTTCTGTGCAAATTCTGCTAATTTCATCTGTTAAGTAACTTGTGGCACTCTATAAAATGGAATAAATAGTTTCAATTAGTATGAGAGGTGGTCAGGGTTGTGATTGTTGAAAATAGTGGGGAATTTGTCCTGAAGATATTTTTGCCATTTCATCTGCCATGTCATTGCCCATTTACATTCTCAAAAAACTCTGCAGAACTGCCCTTTGTAGAAGCCATGCTAATTCTTCTTCAGCAAGGCTCATTCTTCAATGCATTTTAACAATTTCATATTTAATAACACTTTCTACCAATTTACGCAGGACATATGTGAACCTAATTGGTCTATCGTGTATAGAGATTGGGAGAACAGTAAACAAATGAACTACTTGTACAAATAACCTCATTATTTTTGTTTCTTTGGCATTACTATCTCTGTATTCTAATTCTCTTTGCTCTTTTGACTCATTCCATTTAAGTATTGTGTCATGGAGAGGATAAGTACTTTACACCACATTGCAGACTCGAAAATGATGGTTTTTAGTGTCATTATTTTCACTTTCATTATATTTTGTTCAATATATTTTTGTTCTGTGATCAGAATTTATCATTAGTTTATGCATATCGAACACTTGTGGGTTAGACAGATTCTTCTGTTATATTTCATGCACTTAGGTTCAAGTCTATAGAAAGGTTAATTGGAATGGCTTCCCCAATGCCTATTTGAACACCTGTACCCTTTTTGGGAATACAAATGCCAAGAAAACAAAAGGAAAGAAAAGTAGCAACAAAAATGGCAGAAAGGCAAGAAGTGATGTGAACCTCACTACCACCAAGTGGAGAATGTTTGGAAATGAAGCTCTGAAGTGAACTGGAACTTAGAAGGAATGCTTTGTTGCACTAGAAGAATGTCTGCTTGTCCTTGAAGATCTGTTATTAGAATATGTGTTGTATTAATTCAGATACATTTTGTGTAGATTGATGATGTAAACACACTAGCATCTACAAAATAAGTGAACCAGTGTAGTGCAGTGATTAGAATGACAACTAATACTTGGGTAGACCTGGCTGCAAATCTCCACTTTGCCATGAAGCTTTTTGAATGGCCTTGGGCCAGTCTAACTCTAATCTCCCTCACATACTTGTTGCAAGTGTAAAGATGGAAGAACCTTGTAAATCACTTTGTGCTCCTTGGAGGAAGGATGAGATGAAAATGTATTAGGTGGAAAATGAATTCAAATAAAATATTTAAGCTGAGGAAAAGCTGTTTGCATGAACAAATACCAAGTCCTGTAGAATTGTCGGTGATATGTGACCATTGAATGTCAGTCCATTGAATGTCAGTCCTCATTGATTACCATACTGAAGACAACATCATTTTAGGTCATTTTTCCTGGCAACAAAACCCAGAAAATATAATGCAATTTGATATAAATCTGTTTTGCAATCCTATTTTAGATATGACTTCCTGTTTATGAAGCAGCGATGGCGGACGCTCTCCCCAAGCAGCGGGAGGGCGAATCGCACACCAGCGTCCTGGAGGGGTGCCACCTCAAGTGACACCCCCGCAGAGCCTTTGTGATAGGCTCCAGGCCAGAGGGCTTTTGAGGGGTAGCCTCTGCCCTGACAGTCCAGTCGCTGTGTGGCCTTCGGGCACAAGCTGCTTTGACCGGGACAAGCGCTGGAGATCGAGCGGAAGATCGTTAAAACGCAGCGTGGTCAGAGAATCTGACCGACAATAAACGTGAGTTCTGAATAAAACGGACTTTTAAAAAAGCAGATCTCCCCCCCCCCCGTGCAGGAAGAAGAGGAGCCAAGGAGGGAGCCAGGCAGTCAGAGTCCCAAACCGGAAGAGGGTGCAGACGTCATTAAATTACTAGCGGATATGGTCAAGCTATGGAACAACTCAATGGTATTAACCAGCAACTGACTGTGATGAACAAGAACTTTGCTTCTCAACAGCTCCAGCTGAATGAAACGGAAAAGAAAGTGGAGCAGGCTAATGAGAAAATCCAAGAGATGGACACCACAAATAAGTTGAAGAAAAGACTGGGAGAGGTGGAAATAAAGCAAAATCTTCAAGAAAACCGTGTACTGCAACTACAGATGGAAAAAGCCAATATGATTCTCAGGTTCCAGGGAGTTCCTGAAGTAGCGAAAGAGGACCTGAGGAGGTTGCTTAGCGAGATCATCGCTCCAGTGATAGGCTTTACAGCAGATGAATTAGTAAAAGATATGGAGGTGGCCTATAGGGCATACTCCAATTATATTTTAAAAAATAGCCTACCTGGAGAAATTGGGGTCAGATTCTCAAGAAGACAGACCAGAGATGCTATTTTAAAAGCAACATCAGCAACTCCACTGAAAATGGGAAATGTAATTATCAAGGCGCTAAAAGACATTCCATTTGAAATCCGGCAAAAGAGGAAAAATTACAAAGATTTGATTGCTTTTCTTCAAACTAATGGAATAACGTACAGGTGGGCGATCCCGGAAGGTGTCATCTTTAAAATCAATGATAAAAGAGAGAAGATAGACTCCATTTTCAAGGCTAAAGAGTTTTTGTGGTGTCAGCTCGGAACAGAGGAAGAGTCCAAAGAGGAAGAAATGAAGTTGAGTGACTTTGCTACCTCAGGAACGGAAGAGGACTCTGCAGCAGAAAAGGGTGCAGGACCTGCCAGAGTGGTATACGATTTCAGAGACAGAAAGCCAAAGTAAAGGCAGAAGGACTTGGAAATTGGCCTTTTGAAACAAAGAACACGAAGATGATCAGAAAGTTCTCTCATAACAGCTAACATAGTAACATATAAACATGGAAGATGGGCAGGAACTCTACAAGTATATTGTGATACTAACACTTGTGATACTAACATTTACACTAACAGAAATAAGATCTCCTCCTCTTGGGTTTTTAGTTTTTAGTTTAGTGTGGTTATCTTTCCTTTATCCCTAGTTGTAGTTCCGCTTCCCAAATTTTCTTTGTAGTTTGTAGTCTAATGCAAAATAAAAAATAACCCTTTCGGGGGTTTAAAAAAATATATATCCTATTTTAGTACTATGGTGCTGGAGAAGATACAGAGTTATAACTAAAATGGTCAAGAGTTCAGAGCACTTTCCTCTGAGGTAGAGCTAGTTTATGTCTATTATAGAAAAAAGAATACTAATTTGAGTTCAATAGAGAATGCTAGGAGAAAACAAGATATCGATAAGGTGGGATAACTAATAATTTCAGGACTAACGAAAAGAAGTACTACACACAATTAGTTTATGGAATTAATTAATTTACAGGGCTTTGCAGGGCACAAAGAGGGCTCCCAGGTAAGTCCAGGAACCCAAACTTGTTACTGACATGAAGCTAAAAGGGGCCAATATGTTTGTTGGGGCTACTCTGACCAAGCATCTCTTCCTTCTTAAAAATTCCCACACCCAGAAGAGTAGTTTAAAGTCAAAATTTGAAGAAGCTACACATCTCTGATTGAAAAATCATCATTCCCATCACTTGGAATACAAATTTTTAGAAACTTCACAACATGTTGCCAGTAGATTAGATTAGCCCTGTCTGGGAGACACAGATGGTGTACTTTGTGCCTTCATATTTGCCATCATACTGAATGCAAGAGGCAGGAAAACTGCTAATCCCAGACACACTAGCGTTTCTTGCTTTGCTTTATAGGTTGAAGAATAGAGAGGCCCTTTCTCACTACTTTTGAAAGATCCTTCTGCACTTGTGATTATTGAAACACTGATGTCCTCTTGCTGTTTTTTTCTTACTCCTTAGAATCAGCAGCAGAACCAACATCAGCAGCAAACAGCACCTCAACAACAGCAAGCAGCACCTCAACAGCAACAAAACAGTACCCAGACAAATGGAACTGCAGGGGGAGGTGGAGCAGGAGGTGGTGGCCCTGTGGGAGGTCTCCAGCATAGCCAGGACTCCAGCCTCAACCAGGTGCCTCCAAATAAGAAACCACGTATAGGGCCTTCAGGCACTAATTCAGGCGGGCCTGTCATGCCTTCAGATTATCAGGTACTTAATATTTTTTTACACTCCTGCATTTTTTTGTTTCTGGGGGACGACAAGAAGAAATGAGTTTAAAAAACTGCTACAATAAGATGATCTTATTCTAAAGTGTTCTTTCCCAGCATATTAATATATCTAATTCTCAGAATGGCTCCATCTGTGGATACAAATCTGGAGATTAGGGCCATGGACAGATCAGAGAAATCTTTCTGCAAACCTGAAGAATGCCTTAGGTTTGCAGGAAATTCTGAAATAAAAAAATACACAAAAAACCTCAAAATGATAGAAACATTCCCTGTAGCTGTAAGACACAAATGCCTTCTATGGCCATTACTAAGCAACTACAATAGAATTGCTAGCATTCAGTCTTGGTTTCTGCCAGTAAAAGGTAGGGGGAGGGGTGTCCTGGGACCTCCCAGGCCTCCCGCTGGGACAGCCGGGGGTCACCCCATGCCCCCTGACCCCGGATACAGCAGAACCCCTCTCCGGTGCACTCACCAGAAGCCATGGGGCCCGGAGGGGGAGAGAGCGGCGGCAGTCGAGCCAAGACGACGTATTGCAATGAGGAAGGCAACACCGGGCTGCGATGGCCTGACGCGGCGTCCGGGGACTGCGCCAGGGGCACCGCGACGGGCCAGCAGGGCTCGGGCCCAAGGAAGGGAGCAACAGGGGCCAAAGGAGGGCGGCGGAGCTCCAGTGGAGGCGGCCCCCGAGTGGCAGGGAAACTCCAGGAGCCAGCGAGCCCAGGGCAGGAGCGAAGCACAGTCCCGGGGCTGGCACAGAGGTGGAGGGCCGGTTGACATGCCAGCAAGGGTGGGGCCGATGCCTGGCGGAATGGCATTGTTCCCTTTAAGTAGGGGCGGGGCCAGGGAAGAGGTGTGGTTCGGGAATGGGGCAGCAATAAAAGGGGGAGATGGAGGAGTAGGGCCGGGGAGGAGGTGGAGACCCAGCCCAGATACGGCGAGAGAGAGCGCGGCTGGTATCCGAGGGACAAGGAGGTGAAGTAACCTCCAAGTGTCCCTGGTCTGAGGCCCCTATTTCCTCCAGACCCTGACTGGCTTCCATGGCCTCCTGACCCACACCCCCAGGCCCCTGGAGAGAGGAGTGGGGGCAGCCACATGAGGGGCCTTGACAGCAACACGGCAACAGGAGGGAGACCCCCGGGAGGACCAGGGGTGCATGACAGGGGGAACTCATTGGGGTCATGCCTGGCAACAAACATGTGACTTGCTGCCATACAACTTCCATGACTTACTCAGGCTTAGCTGCTTGATACTGTTCAACAGCAGCCAGCACACAGAAGCCAGTGTGGTTTAGTGGCTAGAGTTTTACACTAGGATCTGGGATGCCCAGTTTCAAATTCAACACTCTGCCATGGAAGCTCATTGGGTCACCTTGGGCCAGTCGCACACTGTCAACCTAACCTACTACATAGGGTTGCTGTGAGGATAAGATGGACATGAGGAGGATAATGTAAGCTGCTTTGGCTCCCCATGTGGAGAAAGGTGGGGTATAAATTAAGACCAATAAATAATACATTTAGCTGAAGGGGGAAGATAAAAGGTAGGTTTGTTGGTGGGTGAGAAGAAGAAAGCAGGGAAAGGAGAGAGCATATGGGAGCTGCCAGGAGGAGAGCAAGAGAAAATAGGTTAGGGAAGGGGATATAGGGGAAATCCCATCACAAGTCCTTGCAGGTTCCTCAAGCACAACTGGACCTAGGCCTGGCTGCTGGCACCATACAGTTGGGCCTGTTATGCAACTTAACCAGAGTTTTCCCAGCTGCCAGAGGGAGAGAAGGAGGCAAAACTGAAGATGGGGGAGCAGATAAAGGTCAGGGTGGAAAAAGGAAATAGAGGGGGAGGGGGAGGGGAAATGAGAGGTCCCACTGCAATTCCTTGTGGATCCCCCACTTGTCAACAATATAGCTAATTTTTAATATAGCTCCATCTGTGGATACTTAAATCTGGTGATTGGGGCCATGGCCAGACAAAGCAAACCTTAAAAAGCTCCAGGTTTGCTGAAAAATCTGAAATCTAAAAAAAAAAATTGGGGGTTCCCCCCCCTAAAATAATAAGAGCAGTACTGATAGCTTTAAGAAACAAATGCCCTCAGTGGTTGTAATAGCTAGGTTATAGCTAACTTTGGGTGAGAGGCCATGTTGCCATCCTCAGGGCTTGGATTCTGTCAGTAAAAGGCAAGGGGAGAGGAAGGACCCTTTTTGCAACTGATTCAGGCTGTGAGGGGAGGACTTATTGGGACCAGGCCCAGTGGCAATCACCAAGTGACTTGCTATCACATGACTTGCATTACTCACCCAGGCCTGGCTGCTTGCTTCTGTTCAACAGCAGCCACCCCATGAAAGCCAGTATGGCGTACTGGTTAGAGTGTTGGGCTAGGAGCTGGGAGACCAAGGTCTCCCTCACTATGCCTTGGAAGCTTACTGGGTGACTTTGGGCCAGTCACAGAATCTCAGCCTAACCAATCTCACAGGGTTGTTATGAAGATAACATGGAGGACAAGAGAATGGTGTAAGCTGCTTTGGGTCCCCATTGTGGAGAAAGACACGAAGTAAATAGATAATAAACATAGCTTAAGATGGGGGAGCACATACATGTAGGTGGGTGGTGGGTGGGAAGAAGAGAAGAAAGCAGGGAAAGGTGAGGAAGTGGGGGATGCCAGGAGGAGGGGAAGAGGAAATAGTGTGGGGAGGGGGGATATGGGGAATGTACTGTGCCCCACAAGTTCTTATCAGTCCCTTGCTTCTTTATTGATTGATTTATTGATTTATTATTAAATTTATGTATATATATATATGTATATCTGCTTCCTGTGGCATCCAGGGTGTGAACATGAACTTTGGGTGAGAAGCTTTTAGTGGACAGCACAGTAACTGTCAAATGCATTCAAATAAGTTGCTACCTTTTTAACTAGCCCTACCCTTGCGCAATTATTAACAACTGCCCAATGCACAGAAATTAAGGAAGCTAAATTTTCTCACGTCTCTCCACACCAGGAAAAGCTTCACTCACAACATTTTTGTGCAATAGGCTTTTGTTAGAGGTACAGCACAAGAAATTACAAAACAGTCCAAAAACTCAGTGACCATCACAGGCTGATGGTGATCAACAATTCTGATACATAGTATGGCACTCATATAATCCAATTAATACATATTCAGATCAGGCCACATGAATCAGCCCTAACATGTAGCTATTCCACATGGTGCCTGGTTTTTGGTGGCGCACCACTGGTGCCAGCACTGAGGATAAGGAATCTCGGGGTGATGCTGGATTCCTCGCTTTCTGTGGAGGCCCAGGTCACTTCAATTGCCAGATCAGCCTTTTATCATCTTCAGCTGATCAGGCAACTGGTTCTCTAACTCACCCCCTGGGACTTAGCTACAGTGATCTATTCAATGGTCATTTCCAGGCTGGATTACTGTAACTCGCTCTACACGGGGCTGCCCTTGAGCCTGATCCGGAAATTGCAGCTAGTGCAGAATGCAGCAGTGTGCCTGCTGACAGCGTCGCCTATGCAGGCATGCATTCAGCCAGTGTTGCACCAATTGCACTGGCTGCTGATTGAATACTGTATTGGTTCAAGGTCATGGTTTTGACCTTTAAAGCCCTATGTGCCCTGGGACCATCATACCTGCGGGACTGCCTCTCCCCAAGTTGTACATATTAGATTCCATGTAAAAAATGAAGTCAAATGAGGAAGAAGTTCTTGTATTTTATTGTAATGAAATACGGAAAACAGTTAGGCCAAAGGACCCATCAAAACTGACTGCTTTCTTCTCAGCATATTCAGGAAAAATGCCTCAATTAATAGGAAAACAATTAGACCAAATAGTTAACCAAAAATTGACAACTTTCTTCCTTTTCTTCTTTATCTTCTTCTTGAGCATATTCTGAACATATTCAGGAAACATGATATTTTATACATAGACTGACATAATCAAGAAAACAATATTCAAACAGCATAATTGGTTACAAGAGACAGTGGTAATTTGAGTAATAATCCTCTGATTGGCCAGATATAAAGAAACATATATCTACGTCAAACTTAAGTGTTTACTTAACCTAACCTAAATGATAATGGGCAAGGATTCTTCATATCCCAAACAAAAGTATTCATTACTGATACGAGACTAAAATCTTATCTGACCCAGACATTGAAAGGTTTGCCCTAAGAACTACAGAATCATGAACTTTGTGCCTATTATGTTGTCTGCTAACAATATCAGACCTACAAGAGGAACGCCTTCTATATAACAGGCCTTTCTAACATCCTAATAAAATATTACTTAAAGAACAAATCTATAAAAACCAGAGAAATATGAATATGAACAATCAAGAAGAAAAAAACCTATATATGAAAATCTTTATATTCCCATTCATACTACACCCATATAAGCGCCAGAGAGCACTACATCCTAGTAGTCCCCAGCCCGCTTAGCCACAACCAGGGTGATGGCTTGTTCAGTCCTTGCCCTGGCCTGGTGGAACATGCTCACACTTGAGACCAGGGACCTGTGAGACTTACTGCAATTCCACAGGGCCTGCAGAATGGAGCTGTTCCACCAGGTGTTTGGTTGAGGTGGCGAATGTTCAATCATTCTGGCCTCCCCTGTCCATGGTACCCTACCAGTGCCCTTGCTGTTTTGGATATTATTTGGGCACTGGAGTATTTTGGGGTAACTTCTATTCCTTGCCTGACATGAGGCACAGGTTTTTGTAATAATCTGCTGCTGCCATTTATTGTTTTATTGTTTTTACTAGGAAAAAGGCCCGTTGTGGAAATAAATACAACGGCCTCTAGAAAGAGGCTCTGGGTGGGTGCCCCGGCCTTAGACACTCAGTGTCAATTTGCTGTGGCGACCTCAGCAGGGTATAATGACACTGAGTCCACCATTTTCTCCAGAGGAACTGATCTCTGCTACCTAAAGAACAGTTATAATTTTGAGTGAACTCCTCCCACACCTCCTGAAACCTCACCCTCTCCAG